AACCCTTTCTCCAGGAAACTGAAGCCAGCAAAACAGCAATTCAGAATTCAAAACCAAGACACAAACACGTTTCCAAAGCCTCCAAAGCTGCTAACACCGCACAAGACACTCAGCAGTACAGCAAGCCACCTCTGTGATCCTGGGTGTTCTCACTCAATAAGGTCATTAACTACATTTGAATAAACAAAGATCAAGCAAAGCATTAAACGTATTGCAACTCCCACCTATTAAAACTAAAGCTACTTTACAGAATTATAACCTAGTTTCAATACTACAACGAGAGAAGGAGGGACAGAAAGAAAACAATATTCTGAAATGAAAATGGGGGTCAACACCCTGTTCTCATGTTTCACACACCAGAAGAAAAACTTTTAATTTCCAGCACAAACTTATTTTCAAATCACAGGACAGAAGACAAAAAAGTTCTTTGACAGCTCTAGGTCAGGCTGTTTTACAGTGTCTAGAAAGAAAAAAACCCTAAGACTGGGAAGACTTTTCATACATAGCCCTAAATTAACTGCCCAGGCCCCAGTCTGCAAAAAGAATATACAAATGAAATGTCTCAGTGTAGCCAACCATGAAGCAAATTTTAATACCTGTTTATTCCATGAAAAATTTCCTCTAATAATAAATCTGATAATGGCCCAATAACATGCTTCCTTCTCAATACTGCTGCCTACCATCGAAGCAGAGAAAAGCAGTTTTCTCAAGATGGCAGAATGTTTGCTGTGTAGAAGGAAGGGTTGGAAGCCAACAGCTTTAGTTTGCAAAACAAGCCAAAGAAAGAATTAGTCACTTTCACAAAGTGCTTGGAGATTTTCAAACAAAAGGCAGCACCTATAACTCAAACATACCAATGGTAGGAATACCTTCAAATAAACTAGAGAACAACTGAAATACCAGTTTCAGAACAAGCCTTTTTTAGTATTTTAGAAATACAGCTACTGTGCACTTCTGTATGGAAAGGCTCGTGAGAGAGAAAAACAAAATGGTATGTGCATAGGAAGGAATGTGAACTGTCTCTGAGCTTTCAACTATTAACTAGGGGTTTTAGCAATGTGAAGAATGGAAGTTAATACAAACATCCTTGTAATGCACTAACAAGCTTCTCTGCTCTAACACTGGTAACTGCTAACTTAACTAGAGAAAACATTTACAGCAGTGCAATGATGAGCCAAAAATAATTCAATCTTTGCCAATTTAGCAATATACGGATAGTGATGTGAGGGAGGTCTATAATTTTGAGGAGGATTAGCATGTTAAAACGTATTGATGTTTGATATGAACACTGCCAATATCGGATTGAGTGACTTTCCTTCACAAAATGCAGATGTAAAAATGTCTTGAAAGGGAGTTTCCACTGCCTCTGTGGTTTGGTTACCAAGAAGGTATTCGTAAGTAATTTTCTATAAAGCAGAAGGTAAATAGGAAGTTGTTGCAAAGTGGAAGGTCTAACAAGAGCATTAACAGATGATTCTTAACTTGCCAATTAAAGTATGGTTGCGTGACTTAATGATCTGTTTGGTATTTAGGCTTCATCCACTACCATCTGCAACCCCTAATAAAGGCAATGAAAAGAACTGCAAGAACATTGTATCTATTTTTAAACTATTTTGATCAATAACTAAGTACAATTATTTTAGTACTTAGGGCACACAAATATATTAGCTCCCTAACAGCTAATAGCAGATTATGGAAGGTGTTCGCTTACGCCATCTCTACTGTTCCTCATGTCTGTGTGGAGAGGAGGAAATATGCTTCAGCCTCACCAAATAAGCAACTGAGAATACTGAAGTTGGTTTTGCACAGTTTTGGTGGAGAAACTTTTAGGTTTCCTGGAGAAATGGATTTCCGTATGTCTCAGTAAATAGATAGATTCTCATAACATCACTGCCCCATGAAATTGCCTTGCACAGGAAAGCCATGACTAAGACCAAGATGAAGGTTTTCTAATATAATGGCTCACAACAGTTTGAATGCAAACCAGAATATTATGGGTGCATAAACAGAGAGCTTTTGATCTTCAGAGAAATGCTCTTGCTTACAGGCTCTTCAGTCACACAATTTTTTGAAATTTTGCTTTAAAGAGTTAACTTTTCATAAAGGAGACCAAAATAATGAGCGTATAGACTGGTTTTTTGCCATGGCAAAGATAAAATGTCAACTCTGAAATGTCACCTACTGCATATCACGTTCTGTCTTTAGTAGCTTTTCTAGTAACTGCTACACAGATTGCACGTATGGTACAAAAATGTATGGTACCTTCACAATTAACTTGTTCTTTAAGAGCAGAACTATGTTCCCTGTATATATCGGGGGGCAGGGGAAACACGAATGCTTTAAAACTTACTGCTTACTCTTTCCACTTATTTTTTACAAACACATAGTATTACACCATGTAAGACTGATAGGCTAATATGGCAGACCAGTTCAATTCCCAAGAAATAATGGTTTTGTGACTTGTAGTATGGGGAAGTTTTAACCACTAGCTAAACAAGTTCTGAGGTTTACATCATTTCCTTTAGGAAAGTATTCCACAGATACACAAATCCCTGCCAAAATATTTGTTTTTATTACTGTACTTAAAGCTTCCCCTCTCGTAATTAACTATCTTCTCTTACCTTTTTAGTTTCTTCTCCAAATAGTGTGTGTAGATTTCTGACATATATAGGTTGTTCACTTTTTAAACTGATATGGCAGAACATTGACTAGATTTGCATTTTAACACTTAACCAATCACTCATTGCTACAATCAGTCTCCATGATTAGTGAATATTACATCTGAATCCCAGGAAACTCAGACCCAGTTCCCCAATCCACAAAAAGAAGTTTCCCACATAAGCTAGAACAAGAGATTTAACTTCTTTGCACCTAAAAAGGAACTGATATCTTTTTTATCACATCAAAACATGAGGATAGACATACTAAAGACCCAAAAGCGGCTAAATGCAACAGCAATACAGGACACAAAAGCATTTAGAAATTAACAAATGCAGCCATGACTCCACAAAACAAAGAAAACCCTACAAAACAAATGAATAAAATTAGAAAATTCTACTCAGTACACCGGGTTATTTTTTTTGTGACCTACATCCTGTGTTCTACAAAAGACATGTGAAAAAAATGTTATTTTTACATAACTGACTGAAAATAAACAGTTAACATTACCTGCATCTTCCAAAAAATACTGTACAGCCATCAGCACCTTCCCCTGAGGTTGCAGGTCAAGCTATGGAAAGAAAGATACCAGCAGTGAAGTATGTGGTTGTCTGAAACTCTTGGGAATTTAAACAGTTCTTTCTAGGGAATCAAAGTATAATATTCAATAACAATAACAAGCATTGGAACAGGCTGCCCAGGGAAGTGGTTGAGTCCCCATCCCTGGAGGTATTTAAAAGACGGGTAGATGTGGTGCTTAGGCACATGGTTTAGTGGTGGGCTTGGCAATGCTAAGTTAATGGTTGGACTCAATGATCTTAAAGGTCTTTTCCAACCTAAACAATTCTATGATTCTATTGGATTACAACCCTCCTCCATATCTCACTGCTGCAGCTGAAGCAGGGGCTTTTATTCTATTGCTTTTACTAGTGTGCTGCATTGCTTTGATGTCTACCCAAAAGTTCAGTGCAGTCAAAGTTCACACTGGTTTTGCATGTCCCTTTCCTGTTTCTGCAAAGAAGTTTGTTGGCTTCCGTTTTTACTATTAGTAAACTCCATTTGCACAGGAACACAATTTTAAAAGAAAAACTCTATATAATCCTATATCTGTTTATTGAGAGTACAAGCCATAGAGATATCAAATACTGTTGCCCGTAATAAGGAAAACAGTGTATGATCAAAATATATTTTACTTTCCCCTTCAAACCATTACACATGGTTTCTGTGGCGAATTCTACAGACCAGCAAAACAAATGCCTTTTAAGCCAATAGTTGAGGTCAGTTCCTATGCTCAGAAAGTAGCCGCTAATTCTTAAACTGCTGTCCTTATAAAAGGTAAGAAGCTATTAAGCATGAAAGAGTCTGATTCAGTCTTCATGGGGGGGGAGAAAACCATAATTACATTAGATACACCCATGAACATATCCCCACAAATCCCATTACCCTACTGGAATAATGACTAAGTTTTCATCTTTAAGGCATGACTGACACTCAAACATTTGCCTAACAAAGCTTACAGAAGGCAAAGACCTCAGTTACAGCTACCCCTGACAGGCTGTCTCTCCATACACAAAAATAACCTTATAGGCTATGGTAAGCAAACTAACCCCTCTTTGCTGGGCATGATGGTCTGTCCAGTCATGACTGAGGTTGTACAGAAGAAGTTTAATGCTGATGACATCTATGTGGTACCTGTTCTATGCATAATAAGCAGAGGATTTCATACCACTGAATCGGCTAAAACTGACCACTAAAACTAAAACTGATCACTATTAGTTTTAACTACTCTTCTGAATAATTGCTCATCTCAGAATTCAAGTTAAGGTGTGGAAAAAAAAAAGGTGTATGATTTCAGAATGTAACAGGTGAACACAAACCAGTGAGATCCTACTGACCTAGCAAAATCTGTAAGCCCCTTCAATAATCAAGCACCCCTTTAAGAAAGGCTTTTTTCTGAGATCTGCTTGGTGAGATAGTTAGATTTGCACATACTCAGAGGAAAATCCTGCCATTTACAGCAAAAATGGACTTGAGACAGAATAGGAGGGGTTTTTGAAAAAGTATTCCAATACTAAGCTAAGCAACAGCTGCATACTCCCTCCTATTCGTATCCAGCATTCAGGAAGAGCATTCATATATCCAGAAGAGAGTTCATGTATCCGTCCCCTACCAAGGAAGGGCCAGCATTGCCAATTGTGTGAGAAACGAGATGCTCATCAAATTGGATGTAACCAGGAAGTATCTGTTACTACCTGCTCACCCTGCTTTAGCCCACCCAATGTAAAGGTTCTCTCCTGCAGGGTTCATGTTCAGGGCAAGTTCTGCAACACTCCAGTCCAGAAGGCTTTGAATACAAGTCTAGGTGTGAGATTTTAAGGAGACTTGCTCACATTTAGCAAATATTTCCTTAGCACTACCTGTAGCCCAAATACAGAAATAGCCAGTTCCTGTATTAGCAAATACACGTAGTTTCTGGGCAAGCTGTCTGGAGTAGAGCTTTACATGCAGCTGGATGATGGACAAGACTATTTATAACATCTATCCACCTAGCTAGACAACTCTCACCCAAATTATAGGATATCCTGATATTCCTCTCTCAATCTTATTTCTGCATTCGGAGAAATGTTGAATATTCAGGACACTAACTAGAGTTGCTTCAAGATTTTATAGAGTTCTCTGGGACAATAATGCCTCATCACATTCTCACAACCCTTTTTGTTGCACCAGGATCTCAGCAACCTTATCAAATGATGGGGAAAGAAAAAGGGGGAAGCAATTGTATTTATTTAAGCCTATTCAGTTGGATCTGAAAGTTGAAAAAGAAGCTAGAGAATAGGATTTTACAAAGATGATAGCATTAAACTCTTAATTCATTAAAAATTCCTTACAATACATCAACTAAATGAATAAAACAATACGTTTGGCATTTCAGATTTCTGGGCTCAGCGTTCTGATCCTCCCTGCCTCTCTCACTTTCCCCTCTCTCTAGATGTACAAAATAAAAAATATTTTATATTTTTAATTTTATATTTATTTGAGGTTTACAGTGCAAAATTAATTCACATATGATTATTTAAAAGTTGTTGCTTGGGTTTATGTAGTTCGACAACTAATAATAACTACTGGCATTTAGACTAAACGTGTATTTCTAAATTTAAAACTACATTAAACCCTCACTTTACCTCCCCTGTTATATTTCTGCGTTTGACTCTCAGAATTGTACTCAGTGTGATATAGGAGCAAATGACACTCTGCAAGATGCCATACCCCTTGACTTCACATACAAAAAATTGTTTGGGACACAGGGGCAAGAGATACCCGGATAACAAAAATGGGGATTAAACGATCCCCATTATAGCACTATCAAGCCAACTAAAATTTATTGTAAAAATAAGTAAATAAAATTAGAAACTCTAAGTAGAAGTGCCTTGGAATAAGCTTCACCTTTCTTCTCTGGATGAACTACAATGATCAGATCCAATTTAAACGTCTGGTATTTGCTATAAAAACTGATAGGCTTTATAAAATAGGCACTCAATGTGATATATGACATTATTTCAAACACTAACGCCATGGATGTTATTGTCAATTTCTTGAACTTTGATTGTACATTATCTGCTTCAAAAATGCTGCTAAAATAATTGTTTTACAAGCCCTGCCACACATGCTAAAGGGATCAAACACTCATTAGTTTAAAAGGCATAAGGCATTCATTGAGCTTGAAAGAAATATAATGAGGTCAGCAAGTTTAAGGAATTAATCTTTTTTCTTACCCAGAATTCTGCTTTGCCATTGCCTTTTTTGCACCGCTCCGCCAGGACCGACACACCTACAGTCACTTCAGATAATGGCTCTTCTGCTGCTTTCATGAGAATAATCTGAATCACCCTTCCTTCGTAAATGTGGGCGTCAAAAGTTGATTTCCATTCTGGATACATGGTAGGTTTCTTCTGAACTAGAGTTTTTCCTCTTTCTGAAAACCACAAAGAAAGGACAGAAACTGTAAAATCAAGCAATGTAGATCTAGTACTTAAACTCAACAAAATAAAACAAGAGAGAATTCTTGTACTGAAACCAAAAGTAGACTTCTACTTCTTGTACTGTGGTTGGTGTCAAGTTTAAATATTCAGTTCAAACATTCATGCATTGGAAGGCAAAGCTCACTGACTAATAGGGCATGCAAAGGCAGTGAATGTGTTAACATGCAGCCAGAGAGACCAGGACAGACAAATCCCATTCTGGAATTCAGAAGCTGGCTTAGTCAGTCACAACTCGACAAGGAATATTTGCATGGCTGCTTTCTGGTATCAATCTCCATGACATGTCATCTAATCACAGTGAATACCTGCTCCTAGAAGATAAATTAAGATACATCTTACACTGACCTAGTTTAAATTGAAACCGGTGGCTGAGAGATGAAAAGCTCCACATTTCATTAATCTATTCCCAAGTTATCCCAACATTTCACTTCTATTCATAAGTCACTTTCCTTGCCATTGTACTCTCTCTCTGCCACGACTGATACTTTTTAAAGGATATTACAAGGCCTTATCTGTCCTCTCTAGCACATGCAGACCTTGTGTACTTAAAGAACAAGGAAAAGGCTGAAAGGACCTCAAAAAACATCTTATTTTTTTGTAATATTTACCCAGCCTCCTGTAAGAGCGTCTCCGCAGACTCCTTCCTTCGGAGTTTTACAGCGCTTCAGTATTCTTACTAGATGGATTTTTTTCCTAATACACAGCTTCAGTCTCTCTTGCTACCAGTTAAGCTAATTTCTTCCTGTCCTTACCTCAGGCATAAAAAACAGCTGGTGACTGCACAATCTGTAACAAGCTTTAGCATATTTCTAGATGTGGGTCTCTTAGTAGTCCCATCAACACATCCAAAATGACACTGCTTCCTAAGCAACCACATCCGGCTCTTCACCGTGACTCTGGCACGCGATGCCACCTCCCCAGTTTTTCCTCTGTGATTTGCTGCAGAGCCAATTATTCCCCATTTGTGCTCAGGTAAATGAATATAATTTTGCACATTCTGCACAATTTCTGCTATCTATCAAGATCATTTGCTGCAATAAAAGTGCTTTCTAAGTGCCTCTCCAGCTCTGAATGATCCATTTTTCCCCTAAGTGTGTAATCTGTTCTTATGATATCAAGGCAGTAGCAAAGCAGATTAAATAGTCGGACCCTTCCCCAAGAAGCTGCAGTGTGGTCTGTCTCCTAAAATCAGCAATAGAATTTACATTCACTTTGACAGAGGAAGAATTAGATACTTCTTTAAAAATCTTCCTGGAAACTCAAGGCAAAGTTTGTGTTCATTCATTAATAACTTGCTTGATGCACTCCACTCAATTGCGCTGAGCTATCCAAACAAGAGTAGCAAATGGTGTCCTTGTACATCTTTATTAGGGAATGCCTGCCAAGAACAGCATTACAAATTACAACTTTGACAAGCAGACCTAAGACTGCTTGCCAAAGGGCATGCTGAAATGCTCAGAAACAGCCACCTGAGGACCTCTTCCATTTCAAAGCAAAATTGAGCATTCCTCCTCAGTCAAAAGCTTTTATTTTGAATTTGGGGAACTCTACAGAAAGAAAAACCTCAAATTCTTAGCAGTACACACTTAATTCCAGAGCCCTGTACTTGGTGTTCTTTATTATGGAAGAATTTGGAAATATTATGGTGAAAATACATAGGGGAAGCTCAAACAAAACACAGTTAGAGATTATTAGGATGGACAATAAAGGCAAGGGGGAGTTAAAAGCAGGCTGTCTGCACAGCAAGGCTTTTACACTAGCCTATTTTTTGGATTGCTAAAGCCAGACCCCCTTCTTCAAAAAGGCATACTTCAGGAGGCATCCTTGGGAATATGAGAAGTTGCACCAATTTGCAGAACCTGTAACAATAATTCAGGGTTTGCAGAAGTAGCAGCAGTTTACAGAAGAGTTGGTAGGATCTTTGTAGGATTCTTAGAGGGGGAGAGAACTATTTCAGCCCGTTCACAGCACTCTTCCTGTTCCCACGTCCCAATTAACATCTGCTTTGATCAGTTACTACATACATTTTTACCCTATGTAAAACTGAAAGAAGCCATCTAAATTACTGGCAACAACTTCCAGCCTGACCATGCTACTTTTGTAATTAAAATCATACTAATCAAGATTTGTCATGGATCACACTGCCTGCCTGCAAATGAACACTTAAGTGCCAGCAAAGAACAGCCTTTAAGAACACCACTGTTCTTACCCCTCCTGTATTCAGGCCTCCTTTGTTTCTCTGCTAAAACTACTGGCTTCAAAACATTTTACATGTTTGCAAATTGGCTTAATGCCTAATCACTAGGCAAATTATTTTCTTCTGCCTATACAATAAGCTTTCCTTTTCAGCATGCAAATCCAACAAAAGTTACTCCAGATCTTGTCAAACTGATATCAGGAGCATCAGTTTCTTTTCCTGATTACCCCAGTCAGTCACTGCTCCAAGGTTCACTGCAACTCTCCTCCCCCATTTTTTAGTACTTCAAAGACACATGCAAGCAAAGAGGAGAAATGTTGGGATGATTCTATTTCTCAAAAGGAGACAGCTAAAAAAAAAAAAAAAAAAAAGTGGATTTCTTTAGACCACTTCCACCTCTCCACACATTCTGGCAGCTGCAACACTTTCAACACCATTTCTTCAGAGGTTCTCCCAACAGACTAGGATCTTTGGAGCTTAACGCATTTGCTCGATGACAATATTTTCTGGAAGGGTCACTGCACCTTGTGTTTAAAGCCTAAATGCAGCTTTTACCTCAGCAATAACGGGAAAGCCCAATCATGCTGTGAGGAAGAAGAAAATTCACCCTTTCCTGCGTTCTTTGATGTTTTGTGAAGCCCTAGAGCCATAATGCAGGATTAGATGGCTGTGGTGTAACGCAGTACAGCAATTCCCTCTCATCCTGTTTGGCTGCAGTGGTGTGTTCTAGCTAAATGTCACAAAATATTATAAACCTTTGGACCAGTTTCTGTAAAGAAGCGGTCTTTGAAGGCTGAGGGGCTGCTGAACAGGGAGGTGCTAACAAGACCTTGGGTGCTCGTCATTCCAAGCAAATAATTCTGCCAAAATGCCTCAGTTACTACAACAACAACAAACTACACTTCTCATTATTACCTATCCTCCACGTCAATAAAGATCATTTACTGCTCTGTGCTTGAGGATGGTTCTCAAAGCTGCTGCAGTTCAGATCCCTCTTCATAGCACTCCACTACACCACTCTCTCCCCTACAGAGCTTCTACAAGTGCAGTCTGTCACTTGCGGAACTGGAGAGAACAATGCTTTATTTAACATTTGTAAACCTTTGTCATGCAAAATTCACAACTCACCTTAACCTATGTAAAAGTGACATTTCAGCTGCTTCACTACGTTTTTTGTGAATAGTTGTGTGTTGGTGGTGAAGTAAGAAACTAGAAAGCTTAGACTTCACCCTACCAAGTGCTGAGCACTCTGGGCACAGTACAAGAAAGCATTAATAAAGAAGTCTTGTTTTAAGGTGGGGATAGAGACAAAAGTCATTGTTCTTTCTCCCATTCTGAAAGAAAAGCTCACCTTAAAGTGCTTGGCATGACAGGAACAGCAGGGCTCATTACCATTCATGGACTAAGAGGGATTGCAGTATTTCTCAAAAACTTACTCATATTCAGAAAAGCATCACCGTTTGTAACCTCACCTGTAGTCAATGCTTCCTTCATCTTGATAGCACAGAAAGGCTGTAGTTGTTCCTCTTGATTCTGCACAGGTCCCAGCTCAAATGAGTTGAAAGATATCCGTAAGAAGGGGGCCATTGTTCACAATGATAACACAACCTAAGTGGAAAGAAGTAAATAAAAATTGTAGAATAAAAGACCTGGTCTGAGACTTCCAAGAAAGCAATACATGTTTCTCAGCAGCCATCATAGCTGCTACAACCCATCCTCTAAAGTTTGCAAGTCTTGAATGTGTCTGAGATCATGAGCCTGAAGAAAACTGGCATGTACTGAAACAAAAAGTGTAACATGTACAATTGCAGACTGAATTTAAGACACCCTTTTAACCATATCCTGGTAAAAGTAAGTAGCAGTATGCCTTTGACTTAGACCTTGCTCAGTTTTTAAACACAGAGACCCTATTCATTAACACACAAGTATATAAACATTCTTATCAAATAAGTAGTTCACAAACTAATAGACAGACTGTTGGGAGTTTTTTAAAACATTTTTTGTCCCTACACCTGGAATGAAGGGTGGGTTGGGGAAAAAAAGGGACGAAAAAGAGTTTTGCCTGTTCCACATGTTTCTTTCCCAGTATCTCTCACAATGCAAGGAGGGAGAACAAGGAGCAAAATTAATCATCTAAAGCTCATGCTATTTTGTTGCTCTTTAGGTACATATTATTTTCTTTTGTAATTGCTACACAGCCTCAAAAATTCCCAGACAGAGTTCTAGGCACCTCAATAGGGAATCAAATGATAAAAGGAACACCTTCAGTTAATACTATTTTTAAAGATTATCTGAGAAACTACTGAGCCTACATAAAATTTCTGGACACTGCAGCAAAAACCACTACCAGATGCACAGTAAGGGTAACATGTCCTTAAGCATGATCAGGTAATTGCACTGCATAGGAGCATTTGATCAACATTAACCACCTCAGTAACTGGTCCATACATAGGAGTTCACACTTCCTTTCTCACTTGGATAGATGCACAGTTACAAAAATTTCTGAAACCTAGATATTTCACTGGATAAGTGCACATTTTATTTTTAATACTTAATGTGGAAAACAACGTATGTTCCAAATACCACCACCAAACTGAAACTAGTATAAGATCACACGACTTCTATTCAAGCATTGCTTTCAGGTGGCAGCGTACTAATCCTAGGAAGCATCACAGAGCTAATGATTCAAACTGTGAGCCTCTATACCTGCACATGTCAGGCAAAGGCAAGAGGGAGTGGTAGAAACAAACTCTAGCACTACTGTGTCACCTGGTTTAAACTGTCAGGAATTACAAGAATTCAAAACACCTGTAATTTCTAAGTCAGCAAACTGGTGTTTCACTACAGTTATTCTTAAGAGCTCCTGAACTTACAGCAGATTTCAGTTTACAATTCACAGCACCTTCAGCAATGGAGTTAGCCTTGTAGCTTCTATGTCAATATTGTTTTGTGAAGCAAAAATTACTTATTCAAAGGGTAAGAGAAAACAGTCATTTGATAGCAAGCGAATGCTAGTATGATCAGAGAATGAGGGATGCAGAGAAGGAGGGATTAGGAGAAAAGAGTTAACAAGGTAACAGGAAGAGATGATAAAAAAAAATATAAAGAATTGAAACCAGGCTGAGCTGGCCTTTTGACTGTAGATTGTTAATCAGCTCAGTCAAGCAGCACTAGGAAGAACATCTCAAGCAATCCTGCACATGCTTGCATTTTTTAATGTAAAGACATCGACCTGAGAAGCAATTAACATTCCTCTTATATCTCTTAAGGCCCAGAACAGTCATTTAGATAAAAGACTGTGAAATCAGAGTCTTTGCAGCAAGACAGCATATAGCTCCTGACACCATTATTTGCACATCACGCAATCTCCCTATGCGGAGACCATTCTCAATAAATGGAAAAATTTTATGACTCTCTAACATTTATTGAGCTAGTTTTTATTAACTGACTGTTTCCCTACTTTCTTTTCTGTAGAGTAAGACAAAGTTAGAAAGCAGGTTTAGCATTACTTGGGACCATTGCTTATCCCACTGAAGAACTGAAAGCCATGACTATAATTCACATTCGTGCAGATGGTCATCCAGACTCGCAATAACAAACCTTCCCCACTAATCCACTCGTTATTGCAGCTTGGAGCACCATTTGATGAGACTGGAGATTGAGATGACCTCACAAAGAAAGAAAAATAGACAGCTTTTGTAAAAATTAACAAATACCATCCAATACCTCACTTTCACAAATGCAACGTAAACACAACGCTCATCAAGAGTTTTAATGAGGAACACATTTTAGCTGCTCAAGAGACCTTGTGCTCACTATGTTTGGAACTACCCTCAAGTGACTAGCTACATGATTTGCCAACGCCATATCACACATAGTTGCTACTCAATATGGATGTAAAGGAAACCAGATTTCATCATCATTCACCTCTGGGGAAATAGCTTTAAGACCCAATTAGGCCATAGGTAGAAACAAGCTGGGTAGGTCAGCGTGTAGTTCCCACTGGAAACTTTATTTGACAGAATCACAGGATTGCAGGATAATTCTGGCTGGAAGGGACAGCCCAGCTAGAAGTCACAATTTCCAGTAAGTCTGGGACCACATTAACAAAAAATTGGAAGGCACTGACAAAGCTAAACTAGTAATTGCATGATTTCACTCAGACCATCTGACTCAAGCCAATGTCAGTCCTGAAACAGAATACAAGGCTTTGACATTTACTTCTTTAACTCCAGATTAACAGATACAATAGAAACAGGTACAATGCATAAGCATTTCGAATAATCCCACAATCTTCCTCATTTCTGATGGATGAATCATTTGAAGGCCACATTTTCAGCTCTGCTTCTTAGTTTTGAATGTGGTTATTTGTTTTAGTTTCATTGTACTTGGCTTCAGTGCAATCTCAAATTCTCACTCAGAAATGCTACACGCAAGCAATTCAGCAGTTAGGAGAAAACACCAATATCCCAGAATTTCTGATGATGTTCAAATGTGCTCAGCCCAAGGTCACTGTGAAACCAGAAGATACTCTTTTGCTTTTCAATTTACCAACAACTTAAAAAAAGAAAAAAAAAATCAAAAACCCTCAACAGCTTATTTTCACATAGCAAACTACCTGTTCCTGCCAAGTTTCTCTACCCTTATACATCGTGCCTTTTTCACAAAAGTAGAGATTTTAAGTGGCTTCATGCAAAATCTCACTATATGTGATAGACTATACTGTGACGCAGAGAGGTTAAGTGAGAAAGGAGGGTTTGGATTTGCTTTTCAGGTACATGTTCCAATCCTTGTCTATGCTAAGATACTGCAGTGAGATAACTGACAAGTATCAGCTGTACTGCTGTAAACAAAAACATACCCCACTAAAACTGGTTTTGGCAGTGAAACTCAGTGAAAGAGATTCATTTTAATTCAACAAAGTTTCTCAAAATCCCCGCTGAATATACTCATCCAAAGTTTTGTCACATTTGAAAAGCAAAAACATTGAAAGCAATACATATGTTTTGCTTGTTGCATTTTAGACAAGAGTCCCTCTCTGGTCTCCATGACTATTTCAGAAGTGACAGAACAAGCGCTGACTCTAGTTTTAAAAGCTGTATCTGTCAAGAACTGAAACTGCTATAAAACACCAGCTATGAACCGAGGGAGAATTTACAATCTATTCATACAATCTGTATTTCTGCTATGAAGTATTAAAGCCAAACTGTTTTCCCAAAGGGTGTGATTTTATCCAAACCAAATGGTGGAAAAACTGAGATGCAAACTCCAAAAATACTGCAAGTCTAAATTACAGGTTCAATATCTCAAACAGTTTCAAAGTCATGTGCAATCTGAAAAAACAGCTAGGGGAAAAAATCTTCTAGTAACATTATTCTACATGAAGTACACAGTGATGGCCACACTGATTCAGAGTACACCATCAGATGCCGTCCAGCACAACATTTGCCTTGTCAAGGACCCTGATCTGCCCTGTTGCAAGCTAAAACCATGTTCTGCGCTATCTGGGATAGATTCCGCAAAATCCACAGTAATTTCCACGAAGCTTTAAAACTGAGAGCTTTCGACTATTTAATATGGAAAGAAAATCAACCCTATTACTATCAACTATAATATGCACGGAGCAAGACTGGGAAAAAATTAAATCATCTTCGCACCATCAACGTCAACATCTGCTGGATGGACAAATATTCGGTTTTCACGTGGATGTGTTGGTAACACGCAGTTTTAAAGAAATCTTCAAAATAAATTAAAATCTTAAATATTCCAAGGAGAAGTGTCACAAGATTTGCTAGCACAAAATTCACATTAGATTAAAAATCTTCTCCATGCAGACACCAAGGACAAAGGGTAAATTCTGTCGTTTCACCCCTTCCAACAGTGCACAGCAGCTATCAGGGACTCACGCTGCAACTGAAGGCATTACTTGTCAGGGTTCCTTTGTTGCTGTAATTCTGCCTTGGTATAAACAGTAAGGGCAAGTCACCTCTAACACAACTCAGAAACAAAGACGCGGTTGTGACTTTTACACAAAGCGGGAAGTAACATCAAAGCAGTGAATCATCTGGAGGAAACGCTGACACAAGCCCACAGCAGAGCCCTGAAGAGACTAAAAAACTAATGGGCCCACACAGAGCACAGACTGTTCCATCACTGATACGGGACTATATGTCCAAGAGAAATACAAAGGAGAAAACTCCCCTGCTGATTTGAGCCTCTGATTTCCCTGTAGTAGTCTGTAAAACATTTTGCAAACGGATGTAAAGCTGCACACGCAGGTCATGGCTTTTCCATGCTGTCTCACAGAAATGCTCTGGATGGCATGAAATGACTGCTTTCTGCTTAGCTCCTTGCTGAGGCTGCTTCCAAGGCCACACAAATGCTTTGAGGAACACAAACACTGGTAGCCAGCACCATGCATAGCTGAACAATTGGTGTTCTTCCCTGAAAAGATGCAGCAGTAACTTTTTTCTTTTTTAGAATGCAAAAATATAGATTATTTCCAACTTGCAGGTATCTTTTTTTACACAAGGGTTTTCTGTCCTCCGTTCTGGCAATGCACAAGGGGTTCAAGAAAGATAGCAACAAAC